AAAAAAAACATAAAAAAAAAAAAAAAAAAAAAACCCCCAAATACAATTTTTGTTTTTCTCCAACAATATTTTAAAAAAAAACCCCCCCCCCCCCCCCCGAAATAAATCACTTATAGATAAACCATCACTTATCTACAGATAAAGACACACAATATCAAGATGGTAGACCATTGCTTGCATAAAACATCATTACCGCAAGAGTAGACCATTGCGCATCCTACACAACCTCACCGCAGGGCTAGACCCGTAGCCTACCTAAATACGATATTATCGAAACTCGGTGCCTTTGGGGCGTCCTCCCTTTTCTCTTGGGTCTCCTTGGCCGCAGTCTCGACCACGACTTTATGGGACGGGCGTCTTGAAGTTCCTTCCTCGTCCGGGGCGTCGGCGGTCTTGTTCTCTTCGTCAGGGTCCGTGATGAGCTTCTCGTAGCGCATCGCCATGTCCTCCGTCATGCCGAGCAGATCCTGACCAAGAGATCATGTTCAAACTTGGTTAAAAAAACATTTCACATTTTCATACGGCGGCTAATGAATATGAGCGATTTGAATGTGTGATGAGGTTCGCTTTTCCAAAAAGTCTAAACAGAGCCGTCTCAACATCATGCCGCACGTGTGCTGGTGTAGTTTAGGGCAGAGATGAAAACGACAGGCTAGAAGGTTTCACTCTGTTGGAACCGTTATAAGATTGAGTGTGTCATAGAAACGTATATAGCACGTTCAGAGCTGCATGCTGAGACTCGCATGAGATATACATAAAATGAATGGTAGGCCAGAGGTTTGAACTTAAGGAAAACAAAATTCTCATGCTTAGTATTTTTGAGCCGGTGTCAGAAGATAGGTCGAAATTGAGGATGTCGACCTGGAGCGAGGGAAATTTTGTTTTGAATTTGAAATAGGGTGCGGTACTGTTCAATGTTTTGCCCCCCCCCCCCCCCCGTCTTTGAGACATTTTCTTGATACAGTTGGGCGGGTTCTTTCTTTTTCTTCTTTTTTGAAATTTAACTTTAAAATTTTTGGGAAATTTTGTTTTGAATTTGAAATAGGGTGCGGTACTGTTCAATGTTTTGCCCCCCCCCCCCCACGTCTTAGAGACATTTGCTAGATACAGTTGGGCTGGTTCTTTCTATTTCTATTTGTTTGAAATGTAACTTTAAAATTGTCTTACGTTAACCCAGCGTGTCTCAACCTGTGGGTAACGATCCCTGTTGGGGGGGGGGTCGAACATCCTTCACACAGGGGTCGCCTAAGACCGTCAGAAAACACACATTTATGAAGTAGAAAAGAAAATAAGTTTAATGTTGGGGGTCACCACAGCATGAGGAACTGTATTAAAGGGTCGCGACATTAGGAAGGTTGAGAACCACTGCGTTAACAATTTTTCTGTTTATAAGTAGTTTATGAGTATTTTTTATTTGATCAAAAGGTTATCTTAAAAAATAATTTAAAAAAAAAACAACAACTGTATTTGTCTTTCTTAAATATTTTGAAAATGAGCAAATATATTAATATGACGTTTAATAATAATGGCTCAGTGGACAGAAAATATGTGGTTATGCAACTGCCAATTTTAGCGCATTTGAGAATGCCCGATTTAAACTGATCTACGATTTTGAAACATGAACTCAAAAATAACTCAACGGCGGGGTAGAAACCAATGCCATCTCAAGAGCGTACACTTTGACCGCTGGCTACGCACCAAGCCGTACGGAGCAGCGCACGCACATCCGCTGCGGACCTGTATCCCAAACAGGTCATTCAGCAGCATGGCCACGAAGTCGTGGTGGAGCAGGCGACCCGTGACTGGGTTCAGGAACAGCATGGAGAAGATGGGCAGCCGTCGCACGATCAGGTTTCCGAGGATGAGAATGTTTGGATGCTCTCCCCAGATACGACTTGCCAGCCTGAAATACCGGCACAGATGATGTCATGGCAGGAAATACATTTTGGGGGAAGACGTCATTTGAAATGGGGATCGAATGGATATGGAACAGCTGTGTTTTTTTTTTTCTTTTTTCTTTTCTAAATATTTATTTCGAACCTTTGCGAAAGAAGCGACAGAATCTAGAGAAACGTCGCTCTGATGTAGGCAACGGTGTTTAAAATTTAAGTCAGGTACTTATTTGTAGATTTAATAATAAAGGCCCTGAAAATCAGAGGGGTAAAAAAAAAGTGAGTACTTTTTTTATACTGTTCATATATCTGAAGACATGGTGAAGTTGGGGTATGGTTTGTAATACGTTCCGATAGCTATTTATTGATTGAAAAAAAAATAATTGATCGTTACGCTTCAAACATAAGCAATCGTCGCATATTTTCAGATCACTTTCATCATTGTTAACATCTGTCAGCCATTAAAATGTATTAATCTTTGTCTTACTTAGATCTTCCAGCAGATCTATAAACAAAGGATTCTATCTGCAGTTACCGTAATATCTCTAGAATTTGGAGCAATCCGAATAAGAGAAATCAATGTATGAAGGGTTGCATTACGCTTCATATAAATATAACCTTGTATTTCCCCACTGGATTTGATACCTATTCATAAAAGGCAAAGTGTTTGAGCTCAATGCTGACTTCGCGTCTTGCAGAGGTCTGACTAGGAGTCTTAGTTTGTATCTTAGACATTTTGGGACTCGACATTCAGACATCTAATCTCTATCCCAAAAGAATAGATGAATAAAAATTATGTCGATAGATGAAAGTAGTAATATTTATAAATTAAAAAAACAAAAAAAAACAGTCCAGCAATAAATATTTAAATCTGTCCACGCCGGTTGCACTTACTCAAACATCTCATTCTCCCTGCTCATGATAAACTTGTGGCTGAACGCCTGCTTCAGTCGGAAAACCAGACCGGCACGGATGGACTCTATGATGGCCGGGGTGCCGCCCTCCTCCCGGTGCTCTACTTCGTGCAGGTAGGTGTGGTTGAAGCGCCGAACCTTTGGACGCAAGCTGATCTGTTAGCTGTCTAGCACAGGTGGTGTCTAGCACAGGTGGTGTCTAACACAGATGGTGTCTAGCATGGGTGGTGTCTAACACAGGTGGTGTCTAACACAGGTGGTGTCTAGCACAGATGGTGTCTAACATGGGTGGTGTCTAACACGGGTGGTGTCTAACATATAGTATCTAACACAGGTGGTGTCTAACACAGGTGATTCTAGCACAGGTGGTGTCTAATACATGTGGTGTCTAACACGGGTGGTGTCTAACACGGGTGGTGTATAACACGGGTGGTGTCTAACACAGGTGGTGTCTAACACAGGTAGTGTCTAACACGGGTGGTGTCTAACACTTGGTGTCTAACACGGGTTATTGTCGAACAAATGGGATGTCTAACACAGGTGGTGTCTAACACAGGGGATGTCTAACACAGGTGATGTCTAACACAGGTGATGTCTAACACAGATGATGTCTAACACAGGTGATATCTAACATAGATGATGTCTAGCTCAGGAGATGTCTAAAACAGGTGATGTCTAATACAGATGATGTCTTACACAGATCCAGAAGGGAAAAATTGCACGCGATCCTATTCATTAAAGACGCAGCCTCTTCCTAGTGTCAAACAAAGTGCATCAAATACTTTGTTTCGCTCGGCCTCGTGCGGATGCACATTACAACATAGCGCCAGCGAACCATCGAGCTAATACAAGTTCTTAATGCCTTCCCTAAAGCACCTTACCGTTGCGCTGCAAAGAGGCTTGTTGGAGATGTCCTCCTGCTTAGACAGAACCCCCCCCCCCCAACCGTTCGCACTCTCGTGATTGACAAATCATCATCCCAAGATCGGCCGCTGACGGTCCTCTCCCAACCTGAGCAGTCGACTTTCCCAAGCGTGAAGTCCTTACATCCCCCCCCCCCCCCCCCAAAAAAAAAACTGCTCACCCAAGGAAGTGTCGATCGCCCTCTAATAGGAATTTCTACAGTGGGTTTCTACCTGGCAAATAGTTCACGAAGTACCGGGGACGGCTGCTTGACATCATCAGGATGGCTGATACTCTTTTTAACTAATCAAACTTTATTTAACGCACAGAGTGTTTAACGTAAAATTGAAATTTATATAAATTACATTACTCATGAATTTTTTAAAAATTATTTCAGGGAGAGGTTTTTAACCGAAGCGTATATGTTATTTAATGTATCTCACAGCGCGGACTACCTTGTTCGCTAGTTAAATTTACTTTGGTTGTATGTCTGCTGACTGTGAGTGCTCTTATTCACCTGGATCTACAATACATTTGTTGCTCTTTTTTTTTTAATGACACTGACATTTAATCCGTATTTAACTTTTTTTGTGGGATGGGTAGGGTTTGAAGGGTGATGGGTAGGGGGTGGGGTGAACTGAAATAATGAACACAAACGTTGTCAACAGAAGAGAATGACATTTCCAACACACACATACAAAAGAAGAATTCAAGAAACGAAGCACGTACAATTACAACAGTCCCTCCCCAACACTTACAAATACAACAGTCCCTCCCCAACACTTACAAATCCAACAGTCCCCCCCTAACACTTACAAATACAACAGTGCCTCCAACAACACTTACAAATACAACAGTGCCTCCAACAACATTTACAAATACAACAGTCCCTCCCCAACACTTACAAATCCAACAGTCCCCCCCTAACACTTACAAATACAACAGTGCCTCCAACAACACTTACAAATACAACAGTGCCTCCAACAACATTTACAAATACAACAGTGCCTCCAACAACACTTACAAATACAACAGTGCGTTCCCAAACACTACAAATACAACAGTTACTCCCTAACACATACAAATACAACAGTGCCTCCCCAACACTTACAAATACAGCAGTGCCCTACCAAACACTTACAAATACAACAGTCCCTCCCCCAACACTTACAAATACAACAGTCCCTCGACCAACAATTACAAATACAACAGTACCCAACACTTGCAAATACAGCAGTGCCCTCCCAAACTCTTACAAATACAACAATGTCTCCCTATCACTTACAAATACAACAGTCCCTCCCCAACATTTACAAATACAACAGTCCCTCCCCCAACACTTACAAATACAACAGTCCCTCCCCCAACACTTACAAATACAACAGTACCCAACACTTACAAATACAGCAGCGCCCTCCCAAACACTTACAAATACAACAGTGCCTCCTCCAACGCCGTGAGGAGTTTTGTTTTTGAACAGCCATCTTTTCGCCACCAGAATTCCTGTTGTAGAAATATGAACATTGTCAGCTGCTTGTTGTTACATTTCAGGGCAATCGCCTTTCTCATTATTCAAACACATTGCCGACATTGGCGCATACGTAAAATAAGCCATTGAATTTGGAATTTGGGGGAGAACCGTTAAAAGAACTACGGGGCGTACGTTACCACACTGCTCACAGCCAGCCGCACTATTAAAAAGTATATTTCGTTTTTTTTCGCGTTGTTAATCATTTCAAGTCTAGAAACGTATTAGGACAAAGTCTTAGATTAACACCACAGGAGACAGAAAATACAATTGCATTTATTTACTCTGGTCGGTGTCATCAATGTCGTGGATTCGCCGTTCAGGCTTATTTCTGAAGAATGATTCTTGACCAAACGTGAATATTTTTAAAAAAACACATCGCATAAACACATTTGCTTCCAGGTTTATTTATCGTTCTTCCTTCGTATGCGAAGAAGACCAAGGCTTCCACTTGGGCAGTAGCCTTGACCAGAGCCGTAATTTGTTTTAAGCAATGGGTATTGGGGGGGGGGGGAGTGCTCAATTCGCCAGGCTCACTTTTTCCGTTTTGTTCCTTTAGCAGGCCTTAGTCAAGACGCCTTGGGAGTTTACTAGAATGGAGCAGATGACCAGCAGTATGTTTTTTGTGAGTCGCTTTACTAATGCGTTCCGTGTCGCAGGATTTGTCGCATTTTCATTGCGTCAATGTTATAGCACCTACGGGACTCCATCTCCGGGTTTAAATTTAGATTTTGCGTTTTCTTAAAGCTAAAAAAAAAGTGTGGGGGGGAGGGGGGGTCCTGTCTAGGCTGGGAATTGATGTACAGTGCAAATCTTGGTCCCCACTTATAGCTACACAGGAAGAGCTGTTAAGTGAGCCTTGTGTAAGAAATGTATAAAAATTTGATACATTTTAACAGGCCAAAGAGACTAGCACATGTTCTTCACTCATCTCTGCCTTTGTTGTGTCGTCGCTACAACTTTTAATATTCCATTTTATTTTTTTTAAATCTACTGTTGATCCCGTACAAGCGCACTACGGGGCTCCAGTCAATTACCTGGTGTTTGTGGTCCACCAACAAATTTGTGAGGTGAAATGAACACGGCATCTTTATATGCTTGTTCTCTGTGGAGTGAAGCAAATGGTTTATCGGCAATTTACGCTAAACAAAATCCACAACGAAGTGTTTGATATAATAATGTAACCCATGAAACGGTTGGTGCTGGAAATGTGATGTTGCTTGGGCGACGGGGACCATCTATTTATCTTTCTAGAGGGGAATTTACAAAAAAAAAAAAAAAAAAAAATATAAAAACAGTATCAAAAAAGAAAAGCTGGAATCAAATCGCGAAAGCTTCTCACATCCTTTACTTTGATTTTGTTCGTGTGTTTCTTCGTCGGCCTCTTTGTGGCAAAACCTTCGTAAGGCCAGTTGACCAACTTCCGGTCATCCTAACAAGCTGAAACTTGGCACAAGGACTCGCTGCCCATGGCAACGCATTCTATCAATTTTTTTCCGCCCCAGCCCCTGCCCCCAACTTCAAAAAAATATTTTATACATCTGTTCCAGGGCAAGATAAAGGAAATAGGATTTCTTAAGAGCGGAAGCCGTCGATAAGTCGAAAGTAATTCATCATGATGATTTATACGATCAATTTCCTATTTAGTTGTTGTTTTAATGAGTGTTAAAGACAAGACAGCCAAACGGGCAATCATCCACGATGGCGCTGCTCGTCTTAGCTTTCGTGAGGCTGGCTGTCACGGTGTTTTGTTAAACAAATGTTTCGTTTATAACTTTACAAATGTGGTCGCCTAACCCACTCTTCTCGATGATTCCATCTGACAGCAGAAATAAAGACTTACTCTTTTGTTTAAAAAAACCCACCAAATTACCGATATTTAACCCCGTTTTTTTTTTAAAATAGCAAAATCTCGTGAAATGGAAATAGTTTATAATCGAACAGATCCAACGAAATGATCTGTTGAGATTAACAGACAGTTACATTTTGTGCAATTTCTTTGAATGGATGCGAACAGGACTCACCCCTTTTCCGTACAATTCATGTCTATCTCCACGTACGGCGCAGCGCATGCGTAGTCAAAGAGCGCGAATCCCTTGTACTTGTGCATGAGCAGGGATATGGCCAGGGTGTCTGTGAGGATTCCGGTCACGTTGGAGGCTGCCGAGAAGGAACCGATCAGCAATCGCTCCGGTCCACAACGACATGACCGCTGTGGAATTGCAACGAGAATTTATGAAATATTAGTATACAGAATGTACAATATTGAATGGCTAATAAATAACTATTTTAATTGAATATTACATTTTTCAAAAAAAAAAAAAAAAAAAAAAAAAAAAAAAAAAAAAAAAAAAAAAAAAAAATTATTAAAAAAAAAAAAAAAAAAAAAATAAAAAAAAATAATTTAAATAAAAAAAAAAATTTAAAAAAAAAAAAAAAAAAAAAAAAAAAAAAAAAAAGAAATACTAACAAAGATGTTTTGTTTAAAAGAAGAAAGTACAAGAAATACATTGAAAAGTCAACCACGCGATTGAGAAACTGTGATAGTAATATTATACAATTACCAAAAGCAATAATATGAAGGCCAGTCCCACCCTCATGGATAAATCTTAGTTCCACCAAGGGTCAAACCAATACTCACCCGAAGTTCTGTTTCCAAATGTTCAAGGTCAGTGAGTCCATCTGAGTTTTGTCTTATACGAATCACCTGCAAATAGCCAAAGAACAAATGACAGGTCACGTAACATGTAACAGGTAAAATGTGACATGTCGTTTTAAATGGTCAGTTGGCAGTTTCTTATACAGCTAATTACATTTGTTTTAACGTGTTTCCAGCGTGTTCTATATGTTTTCCTAAGGTGCTTCTAACATGTCTCTAACGCGTAGACTTTCTAAGTTGTAGGAGCGGCAAACAATCTATTGGCTTAAATACACGCCTATACGCTCTCTACAAACACGCCTACCTGCTTTCTAAATACACGCCTACCTGCTGTTCATATACACACCTATCTGTTTTATAAATACACGCCTGGTGGCTTTCTAAATACACGCCTACCTGCTGTCTAAATACTCACCTACCTGCTGTTTAAATACACGCCTACCTGTTGTTTACGACCGATTGACACGCGCCTATGTGGAGTGACTTTTTGAGGCATCTGCCACTTTTCGGTTTCGTACTCCTTACTTTTTGCATTCAAAGTTAATAGACTACATTTTTTTTCAGCTTAAAATTTTGGGCATTTTAAATATCTAACGAAGGACCGCGCGACGGCTCTGCTGTATTCGACAACAGACTGCATTAATGTTTTGCCAGTATGTAGTCTACAGCGAATAAAATAACGCCGTCCTGTAGTCTTGCCAACACTTACATCTGCTTGTATCTCCTTCCAGGGCAGTATGTTAGAATGGTGCTCATAGGGTCCAACAAATACAGTCTGGAGACAGGAAGGGAAACAATCATGTTAGACCAAATAATTCAGTCTAGAGCCAGGAAGGGAAACAATCATGTTAGACCAAATAATTCAGTCTAGAGCCAGGAAGGGAAACAATCATGTTAGACCAACAAATGCAGCCTAGAGACAAGAAGGGAAGCAATCATTTTAGAACACAGAATGAATGTAATTTCTGCAGTTTCTGAGAACATTTCTGGCTAAAAAATAAATACAGAATTGGCTGAAGAAATATATGATATAAAAGATGTATCGCTAATTTTTTAACTGTCAAGAAATGTACATTAAAAAGCCCTACCCCCCCCCCCCACCCCAAAAAAAGTATTTCTGCAGTTGCTGAGAACATTTCTTGCTAAAAAATAAATACAGAATTGGCTGAAGAAATATATGATATAAAAGATGTATCGCTAATTTTTTAACTGTCAAGAAATGTACATTAAAAAGCCCTACCCCCCCCCCCCACCCCAAAAAAAGTATTAAATATCTCTGAATGATAGGACATGTGTGAAGGTTTGACGCCCACCTAATTTTTCAAATGCCATTCAATTGATTTAGTTTAAGAAACGAGCATAATTGAATTATTAGAGGAAGTTTACAAAACATGTGCTACGAATAAGACAGTTAAACATCGTCTCTCGTTTATTGGAAACTCCAGATGTTCAAATGACTTTCTCTGTGCAAAGTACTGTTATCCCATTTTGAGCTTTAAGAAAAGGAGATCTATCATATATAAACTCACCTTTCTATAATGCACAGAAGCCAAAGACAAAACTTTACACCCCAACCATATTTCCAATCCCTCTATGTACATTCACATTTGATCTCCTTACCGGTCCAGCCACTGCCCGCCCGAGGCCCATGGCGTGGATGATCTTGTGAATGGCTGCAGTTGATCCGCTGCCACAGAAGATGACAGCGTCGTTTTCGTTTGCGTTGATGCACTGTTTGATAATGGACCTGGTTTTGGTAACACAATTGGGAAAGCAATTCAAAAGCTTTATAAGAAAAAAAAAATAAAGAAGAAGACAGCCAAATGCGTTGGCAGCCATTCCCAAAATTTCAACACAGAGAGAAAGAAACGTTTTAAACAGCGCGTTCATATTTCATACCAAACAGTGTACGTTAGCAGTTGGTTGATCAGAAACTATGCTTTGAAATGAAACTTGTAATGAATCTACCATCGCGACAACTTAAACTGACCCAAAAAAATGAAAACTCTTTTCAGAGATTCATCTAGCACAGGGGGTGTCAAACTCAATCGCTCGGCGGGCCAAAACTCAAATAAAATGTACATGTGAGGGCCAAACAGGCTAAAAACTCAATAAGAGGAACATTATTGTTTAAAAAAAAAAAAAAATATTTATTTAAATGAAAATAGATCATTTTTAATAATTAAAAATCATTTTCGTTCTCATGCCAATTTGTCAGAGCTGGATGTTTTGCACATTGTCTTGGCTACAAAAACAAGTGAGTTCATTTATGTTGGGAGTAACGTTCTGTGTCATTGAGATTCCCATGATGGACTGCAAGTGTTCATCAGTGAGACGACTCCTGTGTGATGTTTTGTTAATCTTCATCACAGAAAGCACCTGCTGACAAATATATGTGCTACACAACATGCTCAAGGTTCCAGCCGCATGTAGACGAAGCTGGTGCATCTCTTCAGGAATGAAACGAGTGGACTGCGCAAGCCCAACTGTGTCGTACTTTGCCATTAGTATCCCTTTACACTGCAGCTCTGTTAGCTCTGTCTACAAATTTACAGATGCAGTTTCCAAGTCTATGAAAAATGGGTTACGATACAGCTCGAAATCACATTTCTTTGCTTTGACGTCACTAAATTGCCGTGCGAACGCAGCGCGAAGTGAGGTAAGTCTTTCCGCAAAGTAAACACCATAGCGTTGACTTGCATATAATTGTACGCCGTCGAGACCTCGCGGACCTCATGTAATGGTTCGACGGGCCGGATGTGGCCCGCGGGGCTTGAGATAGACATAGTAATCTAGCATAATTCGAGGCCAAGTAGTAAGAAGAAAAAAAAACAAAAACAAAGAATAACAAATTATGACGCTGGTGGAAAGTTCATTCTAAATTGTAATCGTTACTTATCAACAAGAAAACTCTCACAACTAAAACCTTATTTCTATGTATGACATATAAGTACGTCGGGTGTCTCTTATCTAAAATTACATGATTATGCAATAGTAATTTAAAAAAAATAATAAAAAAATGGGTCATGGTCCTGACCTTGCCTCTTCCCGGAACTGCGTGGTTTGAGATGCGTAGTAGCTGACTTCTGAATGGGTATTGGCATATGTTGGCATGACATGGTAGCGAATGTAGGTCTCAAAACATTTGAGTGGTCTGAGAAATGATTTTGTTTAAATTTCATTTTACTGACTCTTGAAAAAAAAGGGGGCAGACAAGCAAATCATTTTTTTTTAAAGAAACGATAACCCTCAGGCATTTGTTCGTCAAATAAATTTTTTAAACTTTTAAAAAGTCGGAATGTATCATAGTGCAAACCATGTACTAATGAATCGACCACATTAGTTAGTCCAGTGACTTTGATATAATTTAAATTCTTTAAATTAACGTAATAAATGCGACTTAATTTTTTTATTAAGATGTATAATGAAGGTAAAAAAAATAATTTATCAAGGTCTTACCGTCCCGATGCTACGTAATCTAAGTAAGTCACTGAAAAAAAGAGAAGCAGCAAAAAAAGAAATATTTAATATTATAAGAGCTTGTGAATAACGATGACAACTCAGGCCAAACTTTAACCTTTTCGGCGTGTCAAGTGCCAAAAAGTTGGAGCAATTTTACGAGCTGGGCATTCCCATTGCAATAAAAAAAAATCATAAAAAATAATTGTTTACTGTACATATATAAAACTATTTATATTCTTGTTAGAAATCGAATGAAACTAATACAATCTTTATAAATCAAACTGAAATCTCAACATTTACGCAAATGATCTATCCTGCTTCGCATAATTTATGCGTATAATTAAAAAAACAACATCTTAGAATAAACAGGAATTACTTGCACTGATTCTTGTGTTTTGGGATACAAGGCCCACGGAGACCCTTCATACACCTCTGGCACATGGACGCCCTTTTGCCACCTCTGACACACGGAGGCCCTTCAGAAACCCCTGACACATGGTTCTACCCCCTTTCCTGCCCCCCCCCCCCCGGCTATTTTTCAGTTTCTACAGACACTTATTGTAACAGACCCCATGTTTGACCTAGGGTTCATCTCTTAAGCCGAATATTACTGAGAAAGTCGTCTGCATACTTACTGGTCTCTCTCGCAAACGTCTCTCCGGTACAAAGACCAACCAGCCAATCTCGAGGTCAATAGATCGGCCATCCGTCTTTTTCGCTACTTAAGCCTGGGCCAATAGATCGGCCCATCGGCCTCATGAGGGTTAAGGTAAGTGTTATATTAAATGAATGTAATATTCTCATGACTTGACATTGTCATTAGTTGATACTGTCATTGGTTGATACTGTCATTCGTTGATAATGTCCTTAGTTGATATTGTCATTAGTTGATATTGTCTACATTGTCTTATCAACAAACCTACCCAGCGTTCCGCAACCCTAAACCACCAACATCACCGCACATCTACAACATCAAGAAACCTACCCAGAGTTTTCCCGAAAGGTCCGTGGAACACAAAATTTGTGCCCAAAACATTTTTGAAGACGTAGGAGCAGAGCTCGTTCTTGGCCTCCTCGTTCAGCTCGTCGGGGTCCATGAACCTCTGGAAGATGTCGTCGTCTTCGTACGGTTCTGGGTCCACCGTGGAGGCCGCGCGCGACGAGCTGTACGATTTTTCAAACGGGCCCTGAACCGAATCGTTGTCGTGGCCCAGGCCGGCGTCGTATTGCAGGACGCTTGCTTTGTCCTGAGGATCGTACCTCTCATCGTACGCGGCTTCGATCTCTTCGACCGAGCGGAAAGAAGTGTTGCTCATTTTACTCAGTGACTTTACGGATCCGAAACTGGTTTTGGAGTCGTTCGACATTTCGAGTGAAAAAAACTCCGTTTAGAAACCATCTGATCAGATCGTCTTGATAAAATTCATGAACTCTCAGTATTTTTTCAGGGTAATTCCTCCACTTTTGAAAGTGGATGAGCTCGACAAGCGCACGTTGGACCTGATGCGTTCCGTGAAGAATTTCATTTGTCGCATTTCAAACTCTGATGTTCGTTTCTCTATCCGAGTATTGTTAATCGTCCGAACCAG